TGGCTTGGCAGGGTTCAAGATGATACGCACTGGTTCAGCACTCAGCATGTGCCCCACTTCATTTGCATGGGTGGACCACAGCTGTGGAGGTACTCGTGCCAACAGTTCCTCTTGCAAGTAGGAAGTGTCAGGTTCAGAGTACTCCTGGGTTAGCAAAGCCACAAGCTCAGTTTCCCTATGTTCTGGTACCTCAAGGTAAACACCATCTGGGCTACAATAAATCACGCATCCCAGTTTACACAACAAATCCTTACCAAGAAGGTTGACAGGTGCACAGGGGCTAAGAAGAAAGGCATGATTTTCAGACAAAGGGCCAATAGAGATGGAGACAGGTTCAGAGACGGGATGTGGGATAGGTTGTCCGCCTATACCGACAGCATTTATAGTTTCAGGAGAATAAGGTAGAAAAGGAAACTCAGCAGCCTTTAGCGTGGAGCGGGATGCTCCGGTGTCGACAAGACAGGAGACAGGTTTACCAGAAATAAGGCATTCAACAAACGGACCAGATTGGTCAGTAGCAAGCAAAGGAGCGATGATGTCACTGTCCCTCAGGCTGTCCTATTCAACACTGGGAAAATTGACAGGAAGTGGAGGTGGGGGCAGGGACTGGGGTCTGGGTCCTTGGCCGGGGCGCTTGGGGCATTCTGATTTCCAATGTCCTTCTTGCTTGCAATAATGACATTGGTTCCCATAGCCTGGGTTTTGTGGGCTCAAGGATCTATCTCTTCCCCTGAATCTACCCGGGCCTCCCCTTCCCCGTCCTCGTCCCCTTCCTCTACCTGGACCCTGCAACTGAGAAATCTGTAAGGCCATTAACTTAAACTCGGCATTGTCTTTAGACCGTTCCAATTTGTTATGAAAATGGTTAGCCGCAGCAAGGACTTCAGTCAAATCTTTAGTTTCCCAGCCAATAATTACTGTTTGAATTTTCTCAGCAATTTTAGGGTTAAGTCCCTGGATGAATGCTGCCACTATTGCTTGTTTAGCATTTCCGACTGGGTTATCCATTCCTGAGTATCGTTCAAATGCCTGTTTGAGGCGTTCCAAATAGTCACTGGGGTGTTCATTTTTGTTTTGTTTACAGGTATTTATTTTGGTCCAGTCTGCCTTTTTTGGGCAAATTGTGAGAACTGCCTGAACCAAAGCATTTCTCTTGTCAATAAAGTCTTGGCCAATCCCTGGGTTTTGATCTGGCCAAGTACAGGCAGCATACAGACGTAGCATAGTTTCCTTGGGCAAAATCGATCGCATGAGCTGATTAATGTCAGCCCATGTTGGATTATAACAATTTATAACAGTCTGCAATTCTTCCTGAAATTTTTCTGGGTCTTCCCTGATTTTGGGGAATTTTTGAGTTAAATTGTAGAGATCACCTGGAGTCCAGGGTGCATGCACGGTTACTATATTTTGTCCATCGGTGCCAATGCCTGGCATTTGTCTTAGGGGGTAAACTTGTGCAGCTCGGGATCTAAGATTGATGGGAGATCTTTCCATGCCTATTCCCATTCTTCTAAATACACCTGTGGTGGGTTGTGACCCAGGAGTAAATTGCCACACTGGTGATGATTGAGTGGCAGATATGGTGGATGAGTCCAGACTATTAAGCTCCGTGGATGGATTTACTGAAGGAGCTTCAGCTAATGAGTTACTAGCCTGGGCTGCAGCCTGATGTTGAACCGGTTGTTGCTGATGTGGGAGTCCCAGGAGAGCAGGGTTCGAACAAAGGTCAAGGATATCCTCTGCTGGCTCCGGTGGTGGGGGCGCCCCGGGCAATGCTGGATACATCGGAGCGGTGGCCGGCGTGTAATTTGGGGGAGCAGCCAATTTCTCCCGAACAGCTTGTAACTGCTGTTTTAATTTTTCTTGAGAGTCTTTTAGGCTCCTAGTTTGAGATTCTGTCCGCCTTTTGGACATTTCATCATACCAATAAAAGAACGCGTCCCACTGGTTTTGTGGTGTTTTGGATCCACGGGACTCTAAAGCCCCTCTTAAGTGCACTATTTTATCCTGATCAAATGTTCCTTCTTGTGGAAAATGCTTCACAGGATCATCCCTAGTATACCAGTTCCACTTATCCAGGTACTTGCAAGCCTCGGGAGAATAGTGTGTGTACATAAAGTACGCCGGAGTCCCCTTAGGGGGGACGGGAACTTGTTTAGACTGACTCGTTCCCATTTTCAGTCACACAGGGAGACGTAGGAGAGGCTTATTTAGGATGTCCGGGCCGCTCAGTGCCTTGCCCCGCAGTTTTTCACTGCCCAGACAAAAGGCTTCTGACCCGACACCGGCTCATAAAATGGAAATGGGAAGGGAAACACAAGAGGAATCCTTTCACTCCTGCTCTCGGCAGAAGCTACTGGGACAAGGGGTTTGGAAAAGACAAAATCACTCAGACGCCCTGTCCACTGGGTCACGAGGTTTCAGCTGGGCCCCCTTGCTTTCGACGCTACCTTTTTTAGGCAGAATCGGGGCGGCTAGACCCAGCCTTAGTCCCAGACCTGGTCAGTGGCTCATTTTTCTAAATGCACACACACACATTTATTCAATCACTGGGAAGCCCTGTCCACTGGGTCACGAGGTTCCAGTTGGGCCCCCTTGCTTTCAAAACTGCCCTGTCAGGCAGAATTGGGGCGGCTGAACCCAACCGTAGTCTCAGACCTGGTCAGTGGCTCATATTTCTAAATACACACACATGCACATTCATTCAGTCAGCCAGACCTCCTCCCCCACACCGCCTTAGTTAATTAACGACAAGCCCGATGTGCTGTAGGATGAAGGTGCTTCATACAGTTTCTCCCTAAATAAAACGTACGTTACCAGACACAAAATGGGATCCTTTACCAGACAGAAAATTTTAGCCGGCAGTAAGGTTCAGACTGACCTGTTTTAACAAGGTTCAGATCCAGTTATCACGGCCAAGTTGGGAGCCTACAGGCAGTCCTCCTCCGAAACCCCAATAGAGATTTTGAATTAGGTCTCTTACCTCTCAAGTTTGGCGCCTCGGGGTTGGGGGGGGGCAGTCTGCGGTCCTCCTTTCTCAGCCTGTGTTCTGGATCCGAGTCACGGCACCAGGAATTGTCGTGGAAACACACGCAGCATACTTTTGGGTCAGGTCAGCAGAAGCTTTTATTCAAAAGAAACTACAGCTGTAGGGGGGATTCCAAAGTGACATGGATTTCCCAAGCACTTGGAAGGGGTCCCCCCCCAAGAGCAAAATCAGGAGGCTTATATACTTTTTAACAGTTGCTTACAACTCACGTGATCATATAGTGAAATTAGCATGAAAATGGCTATAATATTACTTCATTATTTCTTTGCTGTAATCAGGATGGGAACTAATGGGGGAGGCGAGGTTAGTTCACAAACCTCCTTCTTGCACCTGCAAATCAGAGTTGTACATACTTTTTGCTATCTTCAAGGCCGTGGTGAGCGAAGCAGTTGCAGAGGAGTTACAAAGAACAAACACTTTCTCTTATCTGTTCTACTATACAGAGCCAGCAATTCTCCACAAAGCGGTTATGTCATCTTATAACTAAAATAGTCAAAGTTTAAGGCGCATATTTTTTCTGATTCCACAGTCCATTATATCAGCATATGCTGTATTCTGAGATCTGCTTAGTCTTTCTTGTTGTGTTCTTGTTTAAAACCCGCTATATACAGGAGACATTACAACATGTTCATTAATAAGTTTCTTTATTTTATATCTTCTGTATTTGGCCTTTGTTGTCATTAAAATCATATTTTAGTGATAACATTTTCAGATGGGCTTTCTTAAATGGTATATTTCTGTACACATACTGTATAATGTATTTCTTACACAGTATATTTCTGTCTGTAAACTATATAATGTATCTATTTCTTGTACATCCAGTTATTATAGATTTTAATATTAAATAATCAACTCATTGAATTATTTCTTTACCTGCTCATTTCTGCCCATGTTATACATGCAGTACATGCTTTGTTTCTTTTTCTCTGCCTTTACCTGGCTTTTCAACAGTTGGTTGGTTCTGTTTTCTGTCCTATTTAATGGACAGTTTATTTTTTGAAGTAGAACCCATTATTAGCACTCTTTGGTCTATATTTACTGTTATTGATTGTTCTTGACAAATTTACTGTTTTGAAAAGGCTCAATAGCATTGGTCATTTGTGCTGGGTTGCCAACTTAAATGTGCATTATGAGACAGTGAATCAACGCTGAAATAACAGCAGTTCAGAACAGACCAATTTCTGGTGTGTTACCTGTTATGTCTGCAGAGGACCAGCCAGAAGATAAATGTTCCAAATTTTAATGCCCAAAGCCTGCTGACCAGGGCATCCAGAAGCAGAGACCACTTACGTTTTGGGCATACATCAGGTCCTTTTGTCAATAGTTGAGTTGCACCTGTCTTGTCTTTGCAAATGATGATGAACACTTAATGCTCTTTTAAAAAACATTACTATAGAATGCCTATATAAGCACAGCGGTATCACAAATAAACATTCAGTTATTTTACACGCATGATATCAAACCTGCATAGCAAGGTTTTGGTTATGCAATAATACTATAGCCTGACTTCTATTTTTGTTTTTCATGAATGCTTACTGAATATTGACTTGATTGGGTTTGATTTATAAAAGAAACCAAGGAAATTCAGATACTTCCAGCTTTATAAGTAAGAGATCCCTAACGGATTTTCATAAGACTCTTCAAAAACAAACATTTCAGTCAGAAACACTGGACAACAATGATGCACACTATCAGGTATTTTTCTTTTCAGCTGGATTTATTGAATATTATATATTTCCTTAAAGCTTGCTTTGTTTAAAACCAATGTTGTTATGTTTTTTTTCAATATAAATCAAATGGCTGCACTGTGTGGATGCTGCCTTAAGAGAAGCTCTGTAGCCAGTATTTCCAGAGGTCATGTATATTAAGGCAAATTTAGAGCACAGATCAGTGTGAAAAACACCCCAAAAGCCTCTGCTCAGTTATTTCTCAAGGGCTTGTCACTTTGCCAGGGCAGCCTCTTGAATATGTGCATGTATGCACTTGCAGCTTTGTAGCTTGGCCTCAGGATCAAAGTCAGAGGCAGTTTTACCATTGTCTTTTGCTAAAAGCAGAATCAAGCCTTTACTTCTGAGATCTTGTGATAAAGGATAGTGCAGATATAGTTTCCTCCTGGCTATGCTCACTGCCAGCCAGCCAGCACCTTCACATTTTACTCCAGGCTGGCTCATTGTGGCATCCTTATGGAGGGAAGTGTTCAGTTACTTGAGCCTCTAGCACCTCTCTTTTGGGAATCTTTATTTTAGAAGAATAGTACCCAGCAAAGTCTGTGCGAGTAGAAGCTGGCCTAGACCTTGGGGTATATCTGGTCTGGTGGTGTTAAAGTAACTGAATACAGAAATATAGTACAGTTCATGGTACAGTGCTCCGATTGCTCTTTTGTAGTAACGAGAGATGTCTGTATACACTGCCTGATTTCTTTGCTATTATCCTAGCTCTTAATAAAGAAAACCCAGCTCACAACCAGACTTCTTAAATTGGATTCCTTTGAACAGAAAACCAGTTAAATCCCTGAAAAATAGAGTTGGAGCACATCTGGAAGAAGACATCTCAGTGGGTCATTAATCCAACCCACTACTCTAACCCATCCCAGCTAAGCCTTGCCCAAGCATGAGTGACAACTTAATTTTTCTCAGTACAGTTCCAGCTTCATTCTACAACTACTAGCCATAGAGCAAAGAAAGCTAAATGGTACAGAGGGGTCTTATAATAGATTGATTTGACATCGGAACTGTCATATTGTTTTATTTATATTGTAGTAGGACCTAGAAACCCCAATCAGGAATTGGGAGTCCCAATGTGCTAGAGTAGTGTACGTGCTCATAACAAAGAAGATTATCTATTCCCATCGGGGTTTACATTCTGAGTGTATTGTGAGAGGCAGCAAACACAGATGGGTAGAGAGAGAAGAATGTGAGAAACAAATTGTATAATTATCAGTGGTCATAACACCAGCTACCTTGTCATAGTCTGGTGCTTTGTAGGCCTCACAGAAGAGATGAGTGAGGAAATACTTTTAACAAGGCTAATTCTGATTAATGACAAGTTCTAGATTACTCCAGTTTCCAACTTGCTCTTTCTTTGTAAGAGGTTTCACTTAGTCCCTCTCCTACAGGCAAGCCTTGGACACTTAAGTGGACTCTGTGATATCTCATCAAGAAGCACACTCACTTCATCTGAGTTCGATCTACGAAGCCTGCAGCCTGACCGTCGTCTCGAAAATCTGCTAAAACATGTTAGTGCAGAGGACTTTGAAAGGCAGAATGAAGAAGCCCGGAGAACCAACAGACATCCAGAGCTCTTTGCCCTCTATCCAAGAGTGGACGAGGTAAACTCATACTTCTGAAACTCTCCTTAGCTGGTTTGCAAGTCAAAGGGAAGAGCACTTTCAGGCAGTCTCAGTTAGATGAACTCCATTCCAGTAAATATTCTTTCTTCCTTAAAAAATGAAATGCTTGCCAATTGGGGCAATGCATTATGGTCTTGTCTGGTTACAGAGTTAAGGTTCCATATAGAATTAATAACTGCTTAATAATGTGATTAATAATAGGAAGATGCTGTAGCTATACGGCCAGTTCCAGACTGCCCAAAGGAACATCTGGGAAATAGGATCTTGGTGAAGTTGCAGACTCTGAAGTAAGTATCTTCCTATGCCTTGTGGTTTCACCAGCCTTCATGACAAACTTCATGTCACTTTTACATGCTAATTGTCTCGTAACATACAATATATTTACATCATTTAGAGTAGATTTCTCAGCACCCATTATAATGCAGACTTAATGTTGCAGTTCTGTTTGGATTCTTCACTTTTTTCTTTCTTTGTCTTGTTTTCTATGACTACACATTGAAAGATTTTCTGAGAGATAAACTATCCAAGAAAAACAGGTCCATAACTGAACATTTTTAGGAACCAATTCGTATGCTCGTTGTGTGGTGTTTTGCTTCTTTTTAAATATGGAAGCAATCTATAACTAGAATAGGACGACAAAGTTCCTTGAAATATGGGAAAGTCCATCTAAACAGCTAACTTCTCCCTTGTGCTTCTTAGAACCACTTACTTATGTACCCATGTTACAAAATTGTTTAGGAGGTTATCAGAAAATATGAGGACAAATTCTTTGCTACATCTAATAATAAGTCTTGGATGTATATGATAAGGAAGGCAATGCTTAGGGGGAAAAAAGACCTGTTTCAAGCTCCTCAGTGCTGTGGGTGGTTTCCTGCTGGCCAACTCTAGTCGTAGCCTCGGCATTACTGTAAACTCTGCCAAAGGCCTCAGAATCATAAGGGTACTGAATTACCTTTACTATGCCTTTTGGTTTGTTTATGACCACATTCCTCATGCTGAAATTTTGATTCCTATGGTATCCATGTAAGACTGGAGAAATCGCCCATGCTGGGGGAATCTTCCAAAAGAATAAACCTCCCCCTCCCCCCTCCCCTCCCCTCCCTTAGCTTTGGGAGAATTGAGATCTCTCAGATTATGCCAATCTCTACTTATTTCATAAAGGAAATGCCAGATACAGCCTCTATTTTTTATTATAGAAGGTCACAAGAGTGATATGTTAATCAAATACTCTCTCTCTCTCCTTTACAGGTTTGATATAGAAATAGAACCATTGTTTGCATGCATAGCTCTCTATGATATAAAGGAAAGGAAAAAGGTAAGAATGCAACAGAGCAGAACAAAGAGCAATAACAAAGCATAAATATTGTATTGGTTAATAACTGCTTTTTTCAGGTGAATTTCATTACAGTCTGAAAATACTAGAATTCTTGGCCCCATATCTTATATTTTGTGACATTTTTGTCTTTTGAAGGATTAATTTATATTATGTTGCCAAAAATAAAAAATGTATTTGTATGTATTGGAAATATGCTAAAATTCTGCTGCCATCCTTATACAACAACAATTGGATGTTTTGGATGCTTAGAGCAGATCCAAAGCTTGTTTATAACATGTCAGTCCAGCATGTGTTCTCTGATTATTTTTGGTCCCTCCTTTTCAGAATGTAGTCATGAGGTAGTCACACCAAATGATCACATGCTACAATGCCATGAGACACTGTGTGATGCAAGGTGGCATCAACTTCATTGGGGATCAGGCTGTAACGATGTAATCCGATATACATATAATGTTGCGTGTTTGCAAACTTTAATTCCTTGTTGGTGGGGGAGGCTATTTTTGTTCTTTGGTGGGGGGAAGCTTGCATTACTAGCTATTGTTTTTAGACTCTAAAAGTACCCTTTCATATAATTTAACTTTTCAATGAATAATAAATTCATGGAAATGTTGTTGTTTTAAAGATCTCTGAAAATTTTCATTGTGACCTGAACTCAGAACAGTTCAAAGGATTCTTGCGATCTCACACACCCACTGTTGAGCTATCTAGTCAAGCAAGATCTGCAGTATTTTCTGTTACTTATCCTTCTTCTGATATCTACTTAGTAGTAAAGGTATGTGTCAATGCCACTTCTGTTTTTTGCTGGTTTTTAGCCCACAGTTTCTGACCATAGACATAGTTTGGGTTTATAAAATTTTCAAGCAAAAATGTTGTGCTGCCTAGACTTTTTGATATCCACGATAGTGTTGGTGTAAGAATCTACAGACGTATCTCGCTGCCCAGCGTTGTAGTTCTGCCAAACTTTCATGGTTCCCAGTGTGACTATCCAAAAGAAACTTAAAAGCAAAATCAAGTAAACCATTTCTAATTTTGAATAAGAGTCATTGTTTCTGAAGTTGTCACCTGATGTTTTATGGGACTATTTCTTTTTAAACCTCAAAATGATGTTGGTGAGCTTCTCCTTTCATTTGGCACTAGATTTCCCTTGATTCTAACCCAAATACAGTAACACCAGTTTGGTTGTTCTGCTGAATACTAGGTTTTTTTTTTTTCAATCAGTAAGCACTGATTGAAAGCTAGGGGAGTTGTGATGATGGATTGTTCCTAGAAAAAAATCACAGACAATTTATATTATTTAATATATTAATAGTCTTAGTAATGGGTTAATCTTATGACTATAGTCCAGTTCTTTTATAATGGCAGACAGGAAAATAATTTCTTTCTTTCATGTATGGTTTTTTAATTCGTGGTTGTCTGGTTTTGTTTTTTGGGTGTTATTTTCTTTTGGTAGATTGAAAAAGTCCTTCAGCAAGGAGAAATTGGAGAGTGTGCAGAACCCTACACGGTACTAAAAGAAAGTGAGGGAGGAAAGGTACGTATGATGATATCATGGATGTTAAATGAAAACAAGCAAACAAAGAGGAAAATAGTAAAAAGAGCATCTACTCCTATTAAAATCTGCAAAGTAGTGAATGGAAATAAGTCTTTTGTTACATATATAGAAAATCCTGGCTCAGGTGATTGACTGAAAACAGGTTATAGGTGAAGTCAATACTTTTTATTTACTTCTCCAGAAATCAGTGCCTAGGACGTTTTAAGCAGTGCCAAACAACAGATGACCACATTTTCCAAGGGTAATGTCCACACATGGTACAAATATTTGCGCACACATGGCATTGATTTGGGTGTGTAAACCACCTCCTTGCATGTGTATATAGCCAGTTAAACACTATCACTTCAAATATTTCTGTTGGTTCAGTTAACCATTATTTATCTCTTGAGAGGGGGATAGTAGTGTTTCTGGAACTTTGAAATGTATTACCATGTCAGAGTTCAGAAGAACAGTTATATTACTGTTGATCATGAAATCTCTTGATTTTTTTTATGATGAATATCAAGGTTGTCACTCTGGGTGCAAGGTCAGTAAATAATGATGTTCATGGAAACCAGGTAAATATCTGCCTGTCCCTTATTTACATATAAAAACTTCACAAGCCTTTGAAAGAGTCAGCAGAGAGAAGTTTTTAACTCTGAATGATGCAACAAATCTCATCTGCTGCATATGAACTGAGTTGCTTGCACCACACCAGTTCCTACATTATACAGTGATAAATGCTTCAGAAATGGAGGATGAAATTTACCCGTGTCAGTACAAGGCTTTTACAATTCTGAAGCTCCGTCTTAAAGGTGGACCTGGGCTTAAGTGGTGCCTATGCCTTGCACTGGTGTTTCTCATCGTGGCTAATCTCACCCAGACAGACAGACAGAGAGACAGGGACCATCATTACCACTCTGTATGCTGAAAGTAGCCTTGCACAATATATACTTCATATGAGAAGGACTCTCACTCTAGTACCATTTGCTTTAGATAAATAATTTAGAAAAGATTAAGAATGCACACTGAAAATAGTTTTTTGCTGCTTTGTTTTGAAGTTAAATTTAGGGCTTTTTCATGTATTGATTTTGTGTGTGTATGTGTGCATTTTTCTTTTAGAGCAAAGAAAAAATTGAAAAACTGAAAACCCAAGCTGAGTCCTTTTGCCAACGTTTGGGGAAATACCGGATGCCTTTTGCCTGGGTTCCCATAAGCTTAGCCAATTTCTTTAACATTTCAACACTTGAAAGAGAAATACCCGAGGCAGAAAATGTAAATGGTAATAATTTAAATATTGTTTTTAATGCAAAACAAATCTTTACTAATGGAAATATTAGTAAGCAATCTGTCAGTGGATCAGAGTATTGTCATCAGCAGGGATCCTGGTTTTCTCTGATTAAAAATTGCAAATTCACTGATTTAAAAACTGCAAATTCTCTGACTAAAAACCCCAAATCCATGATAAAAATTAAAGGCCCCCACAGTCCCTCCCAATGCTGCTGGTGCCCCGCACTCCCCCCCACAGTCTCAACAGCCCTCCTGATGCCCCTTGCAACAGACCCCCAGACATGCAGAGACAGACACTGACACCCACCCCAGCAGGTAAGCGTGTGTCAGGGGAAGGGCAGGGCGGGGGAAAGGGAAGGTGCTGGGGGAGTAGATCAAGAAAGGTGGGGTGGGGGGGATGTGCCCACTCCCAGGATCGGGGCCAGAGGGTGAGGGCAGGGGTGCCACTCTATGAGCCACACACATGCTGGCTGGCCTGATAGGAGGTTCGCACATGGAGGCCGCCACCGTGGAGCCATGCCCTTCGCCCCTACATCCTAGAGGTAAGTGGGGCTGTGCTCCGGCCGCATGCTAGCCTCCCTCTCCCCCTCCCCTGGACAGCCGGCCAGGCAGCATGTGTGCGGCCCGCACATGGCGGGCACCACCACACTGTGCCCCGTATCGCTTGCCTGCAAATCCCCCCGCAGAGGGTCACTCCTGCCCTCACCCCCTGGCCCTGCTCCCAGCTGCAATGTGCTGCCTGGGGCCAGCAGCACCCCCAGCTCCCTCAGCCCCCAAACCATCTTCCCCAGCCCTGCCCCACAGCCCCACTTACCTCCATGCTCCAGTGGCAAAGGGCGAGTGTGAGCCTGAGCCCGACCTTGGCTGCTTCAGAGGCTCAGGCTTGGCCCTCCCCCCTCTCCCTCCCCTTCCAGGCAGGGCTGGGGGGTTCCCGCCCTTTTTGCAGTTGGCTTTTGCAGACTGGAGCTGTGTCAGCCTGCAAGAGCTCTTTGCAAAAGCGGAGAATCCATGGATTTCTTTGCTAAAAAGAGAAATCCACGTTTTCTCCGATTAAAAACAGGGAATCCATGGTTTTCTCTGTTTTTCTGTGGGAAACGGAAAACCCAGATCCCTGGTCATCAGTTTCAGAATTATAATTGCTCAGTTTCCCATTTCTGTCTCTAAATAGCCATAAGTTAACATGCTTAGCTGGAAAACCTCCTAAATGTATTCTTGTGTATATTCTGTGGATTCTCACCATACCTGTTCTATGCCTGATTCTGATTCCTCACTAGTTCTAGCATCTAAAACTTCTATGCTAGTTCTAGAATAGAAGAACTTCATTAACAACAGTGATGTTCATCTAGATTTAGGCTGCTGTGAGATCACAATAAAGCCCTCCAAATCACCCACAATATGTGTATGATGCTCAGTCAGGGTACTTACAAAAAAACCCCAACAGGCTCATCTCCCATCATGTCATTGGCCGAAGCAACTTATAGTGGTATGCTCAGCAGCACCAGTGAGGTCCACTTCAGAAGTCATTTTGTACTTACATTTTCCATCAACTCAATTTAAGAGTAAATGTAGGTAATGTCTTTTGATGTTTCCTACCCAATACTGCAGGGCGCTTGCAGTCTCTTCTTACTAAGTTTTAATGAATCTGTTTTGCTTTAAGATGGACCTTATATTGAAACAAAATAAGATTAATTTTAAAAAAATAATAATTTACACTTGCAGGGAAAAGCTCCATTAGTGACAGAAAAACAATGGTGCAACACACCAGAAAGCTTTCTGAGAGAAGCCTTACCTTAGAGGACAGTTGCACAGCATCAAACTTCAAAACAACCACCATGACAATCAACACCTTTTTCAAACAGGTACTGCATGACCTTTATTTTAGAGTATGTATAGCATTACATTGTGTTGATAAATCTGGACACAAAAGAGAACAGAATTGGAAAAAATACTGTGGTAACAAGCAAATGGGACTTATCCTTTTGTTCCCCCCATGAAGCAAGCAGTTACCTATTGCTGTCTTTAGATATATGCAGTTCACAAAAGTAGATAATACTATGACTGACCCTATTGATTTGTATCTGTTATCTTGTATCAAATAACTTTATGAAGTTTATTAATTTATCTTTACCCGGACAGGAAGGAGATCGACTTAGTGATGAAGATCTATTCAAATTTTTAGCTGATTATAAAAGATCTTCCTCCTTGCAGAGAAGAGTTAAGTCTATACCAGGTAAAAATCTTTAGGGTGTGTAAGGTGGGTATCTACCTTTCTTAAATGTCTGTGAAAATCCCAACCTTAATGTGCAGTAATAGCTTGGGTGTTGAGCCTATAGTTTGGAGTGTTAGACCATGTTTTAATGACTAGACTAAGCCAACTATTAATTTGATTTGCTTACTCGCTCTTCTCAGTAGATACAAATCTTTAGTTTTTAGGCGCTGAAATTTGTTCGCTTGTATCAATAATTTATAGCAAATTGATTCGAGGTTTTTGTCTTAATCAGTTTTTGAGGAGAAAATGATTAAAATAAGCTCTTCATCAAGCCTTGCTGTTGATCTAAAAACATTTTGAATAGATCAGATTAACAACCTTGACTTGCTCTTCCTGTTAGTTGATTCAGTGACCATTAATTAAGATAGGCAAAGGTTAAGTTTGGTCACTCACACTGGTGTGACCAGCAAGTACTTTTAAATAGACTAGGTTTTCATCCCTTTTGGGTTGCTAAAGATGACCTCTAAAAGGTGAACTCAGTGTAACTGATGTAAAAGTGACCACTGTGCTTTTCAGACAGCAGCTCTGGGCTGTGGTGAACTGCTTACAGTCGGTGCATAAGTCTAAAGCCTAATTATGACCCTTCAAATGTTAACATTACTAACTCATGCTCTTTTGATCCCCAATGGTGGGAGGGAGAGATGGATACCTCCTTTTGTGAAGATCTTCAAAATATGATTATCTCCTTTTAGTATCAGAGATAGTTAGTACTGCTTTTATTTTCAGTTTCTCTCTTTCAAAAATGTTCTGCCTTTAGCATGCAACAGATGATAAAGTTAACCCAGCATATCAAGTTCCTTAATCCCTGTCAACTTGAATTTGCAGAGTAGATCAGTGAAAATAGTGCTTCTTATCTTACTGCATAGAGATATCTACAAGTTACTTCCTGTGTTTCCAGATAACAAATACTTTTTCCAACCAAGTTTTGTTTCTCTTGAAGTCTTCAAACTACAAATAATTAATACTTCTGATTGCAACTTTTGATATTTTGGACAAGCATTTGGTTTGGTATTTATTCTTTTGGTTTGTTTTCTGTATTATATTGCTTTATTTGGTGGTGTTCTAAATTCCTTCTTACTGATGAAGTGCTGATCTTTCACTGAATTTTTTTCAGGACTGCTTAAATTGGAGATCTCTCCAGCTTCAGAAGTCCTCAACTGTTGTCTCACCCCTGAGTTACTGCCAGTGAAACCATTTCCTGAAAACCGTAACCGTCCTCAGAAAGAGATTCTGGAATTCCCCATTCGAGAAGTCTATGTTCCCCACACCATCTATAGGTAACGATGAAGACATTTTCAAAAGCACTTAAGCATAAATCCCATTATCTTTTTGTGTACTTAAATGGCAGTTTTCTGCAGCATGGCAGCTTGCCTGCCCCCTCACCCGCCTTATAGCTTTGGACCAGCCCAGAGCAGTGAAGGTAGAGGTTGGGGCAGGGGGGTATTCTTCTGTAGCAGTAAGTCTGGGACATCAGCCACTGTGGGAATCCATTGCAGTAAGGTCCCATGCAGGAGGAAGGCTTTTCTCCCAACACAGATATATTGCCTGTTTGTGGCTTAAGCCAGAGCTATCTAATTGGTGGTCCACAGGCCACATGTGGCCCCCAAAGGGTTAGCATGCAGCCCACAGGCTTCCATTTGGCAGCCCCAATGTTGCTTCTTCTGAGACAGCCAGGTTCTTCAGGCCCTCCTGTCATCCTCTAGCCTCTGCTTCCTGCCCCCACTCCTGGGGAGTGGGACAGCACAGTGGAAGGAGTCTGGAGTGCCCATGCTGCTTGTGCAGTGAGGGCTCAGGAACAAGCTGCTCACAGTGCACTCAAGAAAGACAGAAGCCTGGCTGCCTGCACTGCAGGTGGACATGGAGCTGGCAGGGGCAAGAGTGGGGAGGGGTGGTACTGCCTATGCTGCATGTGTCATGGGGTAGGTGCTGGGCTGCCTGTGTGGTGGGGGAAAATGTACAGGGAGAGGGGATTGCTGATATGGTGAGTGACCCTCTGTCTGTGGCCTGCACCTTGTGCATACCATGGCCCCAGCTTCCCAGAAGTTGAACAGCCCTGGCTTAAGCTAAAGCAGATCTAGGGAGTCAGTGCTTTGATGAAGAAAATGCAACATTTCTGCTAAGATTTTTTTGAGAAAAACTAACCTGTTTTTTGTTATAGGCTACCTATTATTTTCAGGTTTATTTTACCCTCTTGTACTTGAAAGACAATCAGTACCTAGGCTTAGAACTTGCTATTTGCAGTGATGTTTCTGTTTCTGTCCGTAACTAGTCAGGGAAAGAGAAGTCAATTCTTTTATAAAGCTTACCGTTATGCACTAATTATTTAGTCTTTTAACTGTTGGAGATGAAAAAAAAATTCACTGACTATCTGCTTTCTTCCTGCTCATACTGCTTATTAGGCCTGTATGAGTAGACAACTATTTGATCCAGCTTCGGATCCAGCTGTTTCAGATGCCAGGGATCCAATCCGGAGAAAGTTGTGCCTTCATAGTAACCACTTTTTGTGGCAGTGATCCAAAGCTTTTGTTGATTGTAAAATTACAGAAAAATAGGGCTGGAAGGGACTTCAGGAGTTCAGCTACTCCAATCCCCTGTTCAGCACAGGAACCTATCCATCTGAACCATTGCAGACAAACATTTGTTTAACCTGCAATTAAAAAACCTCCAATAATAAAGATTCCACAACTTTTCTTTTTGGATTTCTTAACCATGCATAGAGTTAGAACGTTCTTTTTATTGTTGCAAATGCAGAATAAATAATGCCCGGGTCCATGCCAGTGAGCCAGGCTTCTTACACATCTAGACTAGGGACAGAAATTACACATAAACTGGTATAATTGATCAGAAACTGGTTCAAATCTGTAATACAATAGAAGTGCAGTCCACATAAACTGCTTTCAAAGTGGCTGAAACTGATTTAACATAAACCTGGGTCGATGTAGTATCAGATAGAACTGATTTAGGTTGAATTGGTTTACTGAACTTCTGTCCCAGATCCCCTCCAGATTCAAGTTAACTCTCAGTCCCCCAGCAACCTAGGATGCTTCGCACCTCCCCTGCAAGCCCTTCTCGAAGGGTGGGCGGGCTAGCCTTGGCCCAAGCTGTCTGCTCCTGCCGAGCAGGGAGGCCTGCTTTAGTTTCCCCAGGCTTCTGGCTTGAGCCAATACAGGTATGTGGCTGCATTTCCAGAATCAAAAGTGAATGTCTGTTTACTTTCTTATTGCTTCAGTCTAAAAGGCTTAGACTAACTTACAAAGAATGAATTGATTCAGCCTCCGTTTTTTTGACCATCTGCACTGAGCCCTAAAATTTGAAAATAAGTTGAGATCATTTCAGTTCTAATCATTTGCTCTACCAAATAAACCTGCTGATCATTGCCATCCATTTTCAGGGCTAGTGAATTTAATATTCTTGAGCAGATTCCAGGTTTTTGTCTATATCAATCGGTACCTTTCTGGGGTCTGAGTGCTGGCATCAGGTGCCTTCACTCAGGATCTGGTTCACCACACACTGCACCAGTTCTGCTTATATAAAGTAGCCCACAAGACACTCATGTTTCTTACCTTGTGTAGATTAGATTTTCATGTGTTGTGGCCCCAATCCGTTGCCACATCAGGGGCATTTCTCTGACACTACATTTATTGTTAGTATGTTGAGAAAGAGGTTACTAGCACACATCCTCTAACTTTTGTAATGCTGTTGGTACAAGGTATCTCACCATATTTGTCAGCTTGCCATTGTCTCTCTGGTGAGAGATTTCCCTCTCTTTCCTTCCTTTATGGATCAGCTCCAGGGATTCTCTTACTATATAGAATGATAGAGAAATATGTCTGGAAGGTATCTCAGAATAGTCCAACACTGCATTGTTTATTCTTGTTTTATTTGCCAAGATCCTAAACCTCTAAATTTCATCCCAGAATGCAGGTCCTGCTCATGTACTATGGTCAGGGTTCTGTCATTGGAGCCCCTATCATGTTTCTCCCTCTCCTGTTGCCTCCCTGCTTCTTTAAAAGATCTCAGGAGAAGGTAGTTTTTAAAGTACTGCTGTTGGAAGAGGGGATGTAACAACATTTCACTTCATTCCACAGCCACAGATAGCTGTCAGGGTACAGCATGACTCTGCTTCTGTTCAGTGTATGCATGACATGTGACTGTGTCCATGCATATGGTTTTCTGAAGTTATTCCACTTTTTCTAAAATAAAAGTTAACACATTGTGTAATATTTTGTGGCATTTGATACAAGCCAAGAAAGAACAACATTTCAAAGAATAGCAGTCAGGTGACACAAGACTCTCTCCCTATACAGCTTATTACAGTGCTTCCAGTTGAGTCGCCATGCCTGACATCCCATAACAAAATGAATTATGTAATATAGAAGTAGTGAAAAATTATGCCACAATGGCATGTAGATTACTGTGTAGTCACTGAGATGAGACACTGAATAAAACACACATTTCCTTAAACTTCCTTAAAGCACAGACTTGTGCAAAAGCATTAAAAAAAATTAAAATGCAAATGTTATGGTCAGAGATCTAGCATGCAGTTACTGCACCCTGGGCAGCAGTAGTGGCCAACATTTGTGCCCTGTCAATATCAGTGCCAGTGGGGCTGATGTCCTGGTCACCAACTTCCTGGTCACCAACCCCTAGTTATGCTACCGGTTTTACCTCAGATACTTTCAGTTTCTTAAAATATTTGGGGGTAACTACAGTTAGTATTATGAAGGGAACCTCTTTTATTAGTGGGTTAGCAGATTTCTATCATTCAACATGCATACAACAACATTTTTGCAAACCATCCCAGGAACTTGGCTATACAGGTTGTTTAAAGGAGAAAAATGATTGACAAAGACATCAACTAGCTCGCTAAACTTGCATGCTAAACTTCAAAAACAAAGCAGAGACCTGATACTATCATGTCTGCCTTTACACTTCATGAGTCACCTGTAAAATGTTTCAATCCTGGAGTTTCCTCTTTTGATTCTGATAGTGCTGTTTTCTGCCTTTCAGAAAAATCTGATCTTTTCTTCTTGATCTTTGTAGTTCTTCAGATGCCTTGTTAGCTTGCTTTTTGGCCTACAGTATGTAGCAGCAGAACAACATCAATAACAGTGCGATGTTATTAATAATAAAAAAGAAAATTCCTAGAGAAACAGGGTGCATCTATGCATGCAATTAATTCAACTGAATAAACTCCAGCACAGTTCACACTGGAGTTTTATTGCTCCTGGGCACCGTGTTTACGTGTGTGCCTGGGACCACTGCAAGTTGAACCAACTCAGAGCAGCCCTGGTTGGCAGGAGGTCCAGGGGGTCAGCCTGCCAGCCTGGGGCTGCTCTGACCCAGTTCAACATGCTGTGGAGGGGCTTACTGGGACACAAGGGTGCTCCCATGTGGGACTAGACAGCAGGAAGCCCCCACACTGTAGCACTCTTATGCCCCAGCCAGCCCTGTCAGTATTTACAAGTACATTGCAATGCACTAAATAATACTGCCACAGGATAGTACTTGTGTTTACAAGTAATAACCTATGGTGTTTATTAGTTTACTAAGGTCTAATAGGGCCACACATGTAGACACTGAGACTTTACTGCAGAGCTAATTAAGCAACTCCACAGTAAACATCTCATCTAGATGCATCCATAGAATATGAAAGTTGCTCATAAAGCAAAGAGTGAAATTACAGGAGACTTTCCGTAGAAAAGTGAGCATGAATCTACAGAAGGCATTTCATTCCATGAAACCAGCATGTTTGCATCCTAGGGTTTTAGAGCTGTCCTCTGTTTCTAATTAGAATTCTTTCAGTACTCCATCTGCAAAATACCCTACCTGTAAAAGGGTATCTGAAATACTCTCACTGAAGCCTTACAGGGCTTTTTTCTAATTAAGTGCCCTCCTTTAGTTGTAGGTGTTCAATAAATTTAACTTTACAGTTCTTGAACAATAGTAATTGGAAAGCAGCATATGTTTACCCTGCGCCACATATTGAACAAAAATAAAGATGCTGCCTGGCCTAAAATGCTGAGCGGTAGCCACAGACATCTCATGTGAGGAATAAAATGCAGAACAAAACAGACCAATCCATTCTCAGATGATGCAATTTCTAGATTCCTGTTTTAAAAAACAAAAATTATATGTATATCAAAAGCAGAATAAATGAGAAGTCACCAGTCCCCAGAGAGACGCTTCCTCAAATCTGGAGAATTATGCCTTCTGTGCTATGATTCAGGAAACTATATCACTTCCTTCCTTCTATGGTTGTTCAGCTATAATGGCAGCTCTGCTGGGGAGGTCTGTGCCCTTGTCCCTCCCCTCCACCCCCCTCAGAGTTGCTTGTGCTCTGAGCGTACTTGGAAAAGAAAAATACTTGTACTCAGGTGATCACTCAGTCTGCTGGTTTGGTCTTATCCTGGGACAATAGGAGAAGGCTCCTTTTGACCACATCCACTAACCTTGCTCAGATTCACAAGGGTAAGCCACAGGTCTGGCAGGATATTTAGCCTGATCCTGCATTTTCCTTTCCCTAGTTTCACAGGTATAAATGAGACTGAGGAGCTGCTTGAGTATAAATGGGAGCAGAATGTGGCCTGTAAGCACATATACTTGTTGGGGTAACTCTCCTGCTGAGATATGTAGTTGGTAGAGAGCTCTCTGTTTACATGTAATTTTACATATCTTTCACCTTAAATCATGTCTAAATGTAAAACCTGGCACTCAGGGACATTATGTGGATTTGTGATGCCCTTTGTAGAGCTATGGATCCATAAAGCAATGGATGGATTGTAGAGTCTCCCCTATATGTGTTTTTTCATCTCTGACAGGTGTGATATTGATAATATTCTTCATTTAATAAGTCATTCTACCAAGCATAATTCAGTAGAAGTTACCAATATTTTTTTTTCACTTTGCTTAGCTCTTTTACAACATCATGCTGGAGAGAACTTAGCTGAATAGGACTTGTATATAGAAATGTAAGTAGGAGATTGCATTAGTTTGTGAGGCTGGGCACACCAGTGTTAGCAAAATGAAAGGCAAGTCACACACGTGTTTGTCTAGTAAGATGTGCTACTGTGCCTACAGTATGTCTCGGATGACAAACCTGCTTAGGCTATGGGTATGGGCCCATAAATGTGTTGTCATGGAACAACTTGTTAGCTACTCCATGATAATAGCCCCTTGTCATGTTCTTACCCAACAGTGAATGGGAGGGTAGCTTACGCCTTTCTATAAGTATGCACATGGGCATTTAGAGTAGATTTGCTGATATGCTGTAAATTCAAAGCTCAATTTTTTTTTTTTTTTAAACCATAACCTATGCTCTTAACCTAACCTAATTCCACCATAAAGCATGCAATAGCTCTCAGTATTGCAATCCAAGCTGCAAAATATTACAGTACATGGTGATAATTACAGGAATCCGGGTTCCCATTTGCCACATAAAAACATGATAAAACCTGGATTTGCTCCTTTTTAAAGAGAAAAACCCAGATTTTGTCTTTTTAAGGAGAAAAACACAGGAAACGGTGGGTTTCCCCTTGCAGGCTGGCCGAGTTCCAGCCTGCAAGGGGCTGGGGGGAGAGGGAGGAGGGCAATCAGCAGGGGGCACCATGTACATGTACACATGCACATAGCCACCAGGCAGCCTGGAGAGCAGTTCCCACAGCTCTCTGCAGATAAGTTTGGGCTGGGGGGGAATGGAGGCCCCCATAATGGGTTGGGCAGGGTGGGGGCTGCTTCCCAGTTTAGGTGGTGTGTGGGGATTACACAGCCTCAGCGCCTAGGTAGTGAGTGGGACAGGGTCACGGGTGGCTTGTCTGGGGATTAGGGGGGGCTGGCTCACTACTGCTTCATGCTTTCCCAGGGAGGGCATGGAGAGCACGTGTCTCCCAGATTTGTGCACAAGGTGGGGTGGCTTGCCCTCTGTGGGCTTGGGCTCGCTGCCATCCTCCCTGGGCCTCCGGGGCCCAGCAGGTGGGACCTGGAGCAACAGATTCGGGTGGAGAAGCTAGGTGCCACTGCCACAAGTCCTGCTCTGCCCTGGTGAGGCACCTCCTGTCTGCCCCTCAACAGTGGGGGTGAGGGTGGCAGTGCAGAGTCATGCCCCTTGCTGCTGTCAGGGGGGGTGGAGCTCCCAGCAGTGGCACCAAGCTTCTCTGCCCTGCCATGCTCTGCCTTGCTGTGCCGGGTCCCATCCACTGGGCTACAGAAGGCCCCAAGGGGAGGGCAGCAGGGTGGGGACCTCAAGCCTGCAGCAGGCAGCCTGCATTCGCCCCCTTCCCACCCCGCCCCGGGCTCCACTCCGGCTGTGCTGCCTGTGGGAAGGGGGAGCTGGGTTCTATGCTCTGCTCTGCCACAGCAGCCCCCACCTTCTGTGGGAGGCAGCTGGGGTTCAGGTGCTGCTGGGGGGGTCAGGGGGCTGCAGAGCCAGGTCCCTGGCCCTGTAGCCCTGGCAGCTGGGGGCCCCCTCTATCAGGGCTGTGGGGGTAGGAGGCTGTGGGTGGGGAGTAAGGGACAGCAGCAGAACCAGGGGGCTGTGGATGGGGTCTCAGGGAGGGGCAGTGGCATGGACAGGGCATCAGAATATCAGGGCTGCTTAGCGCCACAAAGCAGTGGAGGTGGGAGACAGCCTCAGGTGGACCTGCATCCTGGTGAGCAAAGCGGGCAGGGGGAGCTCTGATTTTTCCATGATAAAAAATCCAAAATCAATGCCAGAATTTATAGGTATTTAGAATTTATTTTATTATAGTGACTTGAGGCACTGGTAGGCTTCCAAACTGATTTAAAGTGGTGAATATATCAATAAAATATTGTTTTCAACTGATAGCTATGTATATAGTGGCATTTCATTTTAATCATGGAAGAACATGGGGTTTGGGGGTTTTAATCAGATAATTTGCATATTTTTTACATCAGAGATTGTGCATTTATTAAACAGAGAAAACCAAGATCCCTGGTAATAAATAGAAGGCAGCTTTTATTTTGTTTCAGTTTTTTGAGTCAGCATAAGGAATGAGTATTGCCTGAAAAGTTTTTTGTTTTGTTTTTTTAGTCAGCTGTGTTCATATGGAGAACTATATACAGAGATATTTTTATATGCAGTTTATGATTGAAACAGATGCAAACAGAATGTGAGAAATGGTAGGGAGGTCAGCTGGTATAGGCATTATACTGTATTTCCTACTCATAGTTTCCCAAATCTCTTCATAAGCAATTTCTATCCAAAGGCCAGTCTTATTTGTTATGCTAGTACAGAAGTGATTAGGAAATGCATCCTAACTGTTCAGTATGGATTGGGAAACATAACAGGTATGATTATGCCTCTAGAATATGTTTGGTTAGTATCTTTGCCCAGCTGAAGTTGCTGAGAATTTTGCCATTGGAGCCAGGTTTTACCCTTATATTTTGAATCATCTGTGTATATTCTTGGGCCTTCATCTTGTAAACTTTCCCATGCTGATAGTGATTGACAGACACTAGAAATTAGTGAGCTCCGGGGGAGATGCTGCAGTCTACCTGTGAACAGCTACTTGCAAATTTTGGGGGTTTAACTACAAGTAAAGGGTAGTGCATTTTCATAGGGGGAAAAATGACTATAAAACATTAATAAAAATTGACACCGTGCCCAGACACTAAAATCTACAGTTTAAAAAACTATTAAAAATATCAATATTAATCCAGTAACATCAAGATGTTGTCAAGATGTGGTTGCTACGACCTCGGGAAACATGGAACTGAAGTGTTTGGTTTATTTGCTGAATACCTTCTTTTTTTTTCCTTTGAGCATATCCTTTCTCATTTGAAGTCCATTTCTTTATTGCAGCCTGTCCAGCAATGCTTCCTATATGTTTTGTGATATTAAGAGAGGTTTTAGAAGCTTTGTGTTTGCCCTTGAAGATTTACAGAAAACCACAGGCCAGCTTTCCTGAACAGGGAACTTTTTGTTTTTCATTACATAAAGCCATAATTGTTCATTTATTTATATCCTGGAGATTATGGAATCAGTACCTTTTTACTGCATGAAAATGGTCTTCATCTGTTCCCATATGAAATTGCCTCATAATAAACCATATCACTAGGATCTAGAATGCCACGGGATTGAAGGATTAGCAGAGAATTGGTGTGCCTTGAACTTTCCTTCCTTGGCAAAAGTTCAGATGTAGCTTAAAATGCTACATCTGAATTGTTGTAAGATTTATTGTTATAAGATTTATTTTCTAGCAGCTACAAAGCAATATGACAGCTATCTAATAAAAGAATAAACTTTGGCTAAAAAAAAAAATTAGTATGAATGGCACATCCAGACTCTAGATTTGATATATACAACTATTATGTAGATTATACTGCATTTGATTTGTTGGAAAACAAATACTAAAAGCCAAGGATGATTATATTGACAGAAATCATGACCTTCTCTCAACCCCCCTTTTCCAAGCTCCCTTACACTAAGATGCAACAGGTGTGAAACGTCCCTGTTCTTCAGCAGCCAGATGGGAGGTGTACAGTATTTGCTAGTGGGAGCTTTGCTTCCCCTGGCGTCTTTACTGTCGTCCCTCTAGTGTTGACCCATACAAGCGACTGCTTAGTGCTCTAGGCTTAGGAAAACTGTTTCTTACACAAGATTGGATATCTCCTGCTTATCCTTCAGGCTCAGAGTTAAAGGGCTGGAATAATAGAATAACTGGAACACTGAGGGACTGCCAAGTTGTCTTGTCAAAAACCTAGTTTGCCTCGAGGGGTACCTGAAAACATGAGTTCTCCGTTGTGCAGCAGCAAGGTCTTACTCTTTCTGGCATACTATTTCTACTGGTAAAGAAGTCCTTTCAAAGTTTTCATTTTCTAGGTATAATTGTAACATTAGTCAGAGGGCAAATGCTAGGTTAAGTACTTTTTTTTTCCCTACAAACACTGCATATAGTACTACAAAACCTGCAGATAATAATTGCTTATTCATTTTTTTTTCTTCCTTTCTTTTTCTTCCAGAAATCTCCTATATGTTTATCCACAGCGGTTGAATTTTGCTAACCGAGTGGCCTCTGCAAGAAACATTGCCATTAAGATTCAATTCATGTCTGGGGAAGATCCTGCCTGTGCAATGCCGGTAATTCAAAATAATCTAATGTTAACAGGGGTGTGTTTGTAGCCCCATTCCCCCGTTTGGCAATTCCACATATGCAGAGCCACTGCTTTATCACAGCTCTGGAGCCCAGGGGGTGAGCACTGCTGCTGCTGCCACTGTCACTGCCGCTGTTGTTAATCCTCTCCTATGCCCTGCTATTAAATTCAGTGGCAAGGGTGAGGGTGAACATCAGCAGCATTCACACCCCCCTGCACCCTTCGGGGTCCAAAGTCATGCAAAAGCAGTGCTTCAGCCAGTGATTTGAGAGTTTATCACTGAGCAGAGCTCTGGCAGAGGTTGGCACTAACCCAGCAATGAGTTTAAAGCTTGCTCAAAGTTTGCAGCACAGCCAAAAAAGGCTCTTGCCCCATTTCTATATCTGCTACTGAACAAAAATGCTCTGTGCAGTGCTGTGTGGAGAATGCTCAGCTGCAGAACTGATAAAGCATGTGAATGATGAACTCAGGGTCTTGTACATTTAAGGGGTTTTTAGCAGGCTTTGCATCAAACTAGAATTGTTTCAATTGGAGAGCTCATGTAGCTTGCCCGTTATTTCAGCAAGCGGGCTAACTGCCTGAAGAATAATAGATTAGATTAGAGCCTGCAGTTAGCTTAAAGCAGGAACATACTGCACTGTATTTTGTAATTCTTTTATTTTACAAAGAATAATATTGTATTATATCTCTGCCACCTTAAAAACTCTATCAGCAGATCCATAGGTATTCTCTCTCTCACTGTATTAATCCTGGGGGCTATGAAAATGCAAATATCAGGGGCACTTTTGTCCAGCCTTGGAACTTGGGTCATTGCAACAGAAACAGTTGTACAATGAGGCAGAATGAATAAAACCTTTTCAGTGTGGGCAGTGGTGGCCTTAGGGTTGTTGGGGCCCTGGTCAAGAGAGTCATGTGGGGCCCCTTTAGAGGCTTAATTTTGATAGCGTATAAGCAAGTTGGACACCTGTTGCAATTTTTTTTGGCCCCCTAAAGTATGGGGCAGTTGCCTGATTCCCCCCTCCCCCCCAAAAAGGCCATCACTGGTGTGGGCAACATCCAATATTGCCAGAGTGTGATTTTTTTTTTTTTTTTTTATAAGCAAAGCAGGTATTGCTGGCTGTATTTAAGGTTGCTCAGGACTTCTTATTACAAAAGCTTCTTTTCTGTTTTTGGTAACTTTGAAAAATCTTAACTTCTTGAACTAAAATTTATTATGCAACGTACTTTGCCCTAGTGATTTTAAATTTCAGCAAAAAAATGGGTTCCCAGAATGACATTAGGGAAAAATACATTGTTTTGTCCATGTTAAAAAAAAAAAAAATCAGACTATTGGATTAAGGAGTGTTAGCTCTGGAAGAAGGACTTAGTTTGGCAGCCTTTTATATCAAGTATGTGCCCCTCTCTCTTGCATGAAAATCTGCCCAAATTTGGCCAATTTATAAGACTTAGAAAAAAATGTTAATTCACACATGCTTGGTACAGATTTTTTGGAAAACTGATTTCTCTACACTGAATGATCAGGAGTTTCATCAAAAATACTCTGTGCGTGAGATAATATAGTTCAAGTCTGTAACATAATGCATGATATTGCCATGTAAAACATCTAATGTAAGGTGTCTTGATAAATTGATTATAAATGGTAAAGTTTCGTAGCTGTGTATCTCATCACTATTATTTTTATTTCTTAATGCAGATCATTTTAGGGAAGTCTTCAGGCCCAGAATTTGTGCAAGAGATATGCACAGCTGTCACATATCATAACAAGTAAGTGTATTTATTGTGATGCAGCAAATACCAATCATTTATTCAGGACTACTTTAAATATATGGCATCATCAGATACTACTCAGCCTCCATAGTTTATTTTGGAAAATTTGCACTTAAGTGGAAAAATAGTTTTCCAAAAATGTACTGCAATGAGGATTTGTCACAATTTGAATTTAGATAATCCTATTTGTTTAGATCCTGGACAGAGGTTTTTATCGTGTATTTTTTATTCATTCGTTTGATTTTTTGAAAGTGAATGCAAGACTACTATGTTTGAAAGTTAAGAAATATGTTTAGAAGTATAAAATATGGTTGGGGATTTATTATAATCCTCATTTGGATGAATGAGTGATTCTGACAAAGCTAAAAAGACACTTTCAGGTGATTTCGGTCTCCAGCTTGAAGTGTTTGCAAAACCTTAGCAGAAGGCAGTTCTGAAAGAGTGGGGAAGAAGGATACCAGAGGCTTCCCAGTTGCTAGCACTGTGTTCTCTTCAGGTCAGCAGAGTAGCTAAGTCAGAGATGTATGTTTATTTGCTTAATTTGCTTAATGGAGCTAATTACACAATTGGAGGGGGCTGTCTACATAATTAGCATCCAAGAAGAGCTTAAAAGAAAATGTAGTCTTTCTCTCCGTATTTCTAGTTGTGTAGGTCTTTGCCTTTTTTTTATTTACAGGTCTCCTGACTTTTATGAAGAAGTGAAAATTAAACTGCCAGCTAAACTCACAGAAAAACACCACCTACTGTTCACATTCTATCATATCAGTTGTCAGCCAAAGCAAGGATCCTCTGTGGAGAACCTTTTGGGATACTCAGTAAGTTGGCTGTGAATCATACTTCAGCTTCCCATGCAAACAGTGTTTTAATAGAAATAGCTAACTAATTTTCTCATATCTTCTCTTGCAAGTGGTAAAATCACTCTAGCCAGTTACAACAGTTTCCAGAAAATGATAAATGATTTTAATTTTGGTGTTGCATTCAACTATTTTTGCCTGCATCAAAAGAGTTAATAAGTGCAGATGCAAATCACTGAGCACATCAAATCACTGAGCACATCAAGTGCTGTATAAGGCCCCTAACCTATAAGGACTTAAGGAAGTGATTAAATTAAATACCGTGATTTGTCCTAATTAAGTCAGTGTGCCTACTTACAGTATGTAAAGTTAGACGCACATATAAACCTTTGCAAAATTATACAATATATAGTATATTGCATAGTACATAAATCCAGTGGATTTTTTGGATTTGTTATTATTATACTGTATTCTAATATGCTGTTGCTTATAATTGATATCATGATTAAAGCACTATTTTAAAATTTAATTTTAAGTAGTATCTGTATCTTATATCATGTTCTGACCCTTTCCTAAATTAAAAACAAAACAAAAAAATATAAAAAAACCAGAAGCTAAGAACATGCAGTAATGTTATAATATCCAAAGAGCCTTGTCTGCAATAATGCATATATTTCATCCCTCATAATAGAATTAAAGAATTTTAACTTAAGTGGTTTGCTTATTGTATTATTTGTTCTAATTTTTTGTTTGTTTTTAACATTTTTAAAAGTTTAAAAAAGACAACCATGATGATAGTATATTTTCCAAAAGATCCCATAGTTCTTGATAATATTATGATCTGCAAACAAACAGCAGGATCTTGTAAAGTTTGTCTCTTGTGTGTTACCAAAACATTCATCTACTGTTGTCTACATATAGAACTACCAAATACCTTCATCCCTAAAAACGATGGGATCTATAAACACTCTGTACAAGAGTATATATCAGGATGCTTCTGTCCTCAAAAATTCCTTAGCATCTTTGATGTCCAGAAAATACATACAGAACTTTACTTTTAAAGGAAGATCTCCAGACACAAAAATGCTAGGGACTAAAATTACCTAAAATTATTAGAAGGATGGAAGTGAGATTCAACCTTGAATTTCAACAAAATAAAAATATACAAGAAAAAGCTGCACATTAGGTGTGAAGTTTGAATTATTGTTGTTGGCTCCAATCTTTCAAATTTACATAAGTTCCCTCACTTTCATGTGCATGAATAGTTCCACTGAAGCCAATAAAATTATGCATCTTGCCAACAACTCAGTTTTAGAACTTAATATCTCTTATACTGAATTAAAGAATTTATTCCAGCCCGTGTAGCTTGAATGTGCACCCTCTTTCACCTCTGACAGTAAAATGAATCCAGTCATCAAGCTATGGTTTGAAAGACCTTAATAGGGGTGCCTAGATGGTTCAGTTCATCCCTGGTTAAACTTTATTGAAATCAATGGAATTACTCCAGACCATGATATGTGCTATTCTGAATTAGAAACATTAAGTGTTTGTACACACAGACTCTATGCTTCTGATACAATTTACCAGGGTAAGGTATGCTGGTCACAAAGAGCTGTATGTACCTGTTCTTCAGAAGAGAGGAATTTTAAGTCATAGAAAGTCTGGCTGTGATGGTGTTTCTATGATGGCAATCACAGAATTAAAAAATATAAAGATTTGGCAGAAAATACTATGTGGAGAAAACACTTTTGGTCATTATCTAATCATTGTTCTGGTATGTAGGATTATCACTTACAAGGTAAATAGCCATGATCATATGAAGAAATAAATATTATGTTTTTGCCTCCTCTGTTTCAGTGGCTGCCAATTCTGTTAAATGATCGTCTGCAAACTGGACACTATTGTCTTCCTGTTGCCTTAGATAAACTGCCTTTAAACTATTCAATGCACTCTCCAGAGGTAACAAACAAAATTGCTAAGTGGTAATATTTTTTCCAAATGAAAGCTGCGTCATTAATGTTTTGAACTTTAATATTTGATGACAGACCCATCCCTGTGCTTAAAAAAAATAACTTTACAAAATACCCCACATGTTTTTTGGAGCAATCCAAATAAACCCCAGCAGAAGCATCTGTTTGGCAGATGCCATGATAGGGCAGGCCATGGAGATCTCGTATGTTACCCCAAGCTAGGGGCTTGATTTGTATGACCACTTCTCTGCTCTTGATGGCTAACAGCCACCCAAACGTCCCACAATGCCTGGGGGAGGGGTGTTGCAGAAGCTGTGTTTGGGGTCCTTTGAGAAGACTGGTATGGGAGGGAGAGGGAGTGCTTTAATACAACATAGCTAATGGAAGTCAGACCAAACAGATCCAAACTGCACCACTGCCCTTGGTGGCTTGGCAGACCAGACCAGTGTAGAATAAATAGTTAAAAGAGCTGTGGAAAAGAATGGGGATACTTGGAGAACTTCTTATCTTTTACCTTAAAGAAAAGCACCCCCAAACTTGTGGTTGTTCAGGGTTTGCTGTTTCCCTACTGATAAGGAGATATGCTAGGTTGAGGATCCTATTTTATCTTCAATGCAGAAAGTTCCACCACAGTCACCGCCAATTAAATGGGCTGAAGGACACAAGGGAGTGTTTAATGTTGAAGTGCAGGCTGTTTCTTCTGTTCACACCCAGGTAAGGCATGATCTTTTACTTGCATCAGAAGTTTCATTGAAAAGAGGCTACTAGGGTCTTGGATGACTTGGGGGGGCAGGCTGGTGCATAGGTTGCAGAGCTCTTCTTCTCTAGGTTGCCAGTTCAAGTCTAGTCCAGGCAAGTAGTTTTGGGCTAAATGAGGACTTCATGACTGATAATTTCAGTGTCCAGGGAATTTAGGACTTTATCATGCTCCTAAATGCACTGCCTCAATTTCCTTCCTACCCTCTTTTTTTACCATCCTGGCCATCCTTCCTGAAAGCACTTGGAATGGGAAAAGACCTGGAGTCCAGTGGAGGACAGTTACCCCTGTGCAACAGGCACTTACCTGGATGTGGTATCTACTTGGGCAGGCACCTGTCTTAGGAAAGAGACTGTCATCCACAATAGCTCCTACCCACAAACCAGTGCAGTAATGTAAAGGAATAAATAATGGAGACATTGTAGAGAAAAGCTAACATTTTTGCTTGTTTGTTTTTAAATAATGTGACTTAGTGAGAGTGTGTACCAGATGAACTGAATGAAATAAATGTTGTAGTAGCTCCTTTGAAACACACTTCCTAAAGCTGCTCAGCTTTCTCAAAATTGTGAGAAAATTTTGGAAAACCCTTTTGGTGACTTTTTTCCTTTCTTATCAGCACACTCTGTCTATCTCTGACTAGCTTTTGGTAGCAACTGTGTAGAAAGCCATAACTGTCTAGTGTCATGTGGAAAATACTTCATTGTATTGACAGGACAACCACCTAGAGAAATTCTTCACTCTGTGTCATTCCCTGGAAAGCCAAGTCACCTTCCCAATTCGAGTGATGGAGCAGAAGATCACAGAGGCTACACTGGAACATGAGTTGAAACTCAGCATTATCTGCTTGAATTCTTCTCGCCTTGAGCCCCTCATCTTGTTTTTACACTTGATCCTGGACAAACTCTTCCAGCTGGCTGTACAACCTATGGTCATAGCTGGCCAGGCAGGTACTTATTGAAGCTTGGGCTTTGACCACAAGAACAGCATTGATGTCAGAGTTGAGATGCAAGCAAACCAGGAGATATGGCTGCAAGATGTTTTACACAAGTGGCTAGCTTAAAGTTGATATCTTGCTCAAATTTACCTTCTGGAAGATATTTATAAGACTTTAAGGATATGTGTTTTCTGGATAGTAAGTTGGGGGGGTGTTTATGAGTTTTTCACCCAAGCTGTCCAACCAGACACAGAAAAACCCTTAGACCCACATTTGGAGGTACTTTACACCTGGGCTATCTTATCAGGTTAAGGGATAGGTTAGAAACTGGGTTCTGGTTTAACTCTGATTGGAACTCACCCACTTTGCAATGAGGACATAAGCAAAATCACTTGAGTGCAGATAGAAACAATAAACAGCATTTTAAGTCAGTAATATTGTCTCTGTATTCCTAATAGCCGAAGTACTTTTTTTGAGACATCTTGTGTAGTGTTATAATTAAAATCAACAGAAATGTTGGAGGAATACAAATCTCATGCTCTTGGCTTATAGGCTAATGTCTTCCCGTTAGATGTCAATACATTAGACAGCATCTGATGAAGTGAGCTTGGGCTCACAACAGTTAATGCATCACTGATTTAGTTAGTTTGTAAGGTGCATCTCTCCTCTGCTTTCTCTGACTTCAGACTAACATGGCTAACTACCTCTCACCATTAGAGAGCAGAGTAAGACCTGTATAAGGGGATGCTATTCATCCCACATTTGCCAACTGTAGGGTTGCTAACCCTGCCTCTGAAATACCTGGCACTTGCTGCTGGAGACAGGATACTGGGACAGATGGATCTCAGAGTTGGTCCAATCTTTAGTTCCTGTCCTCAGTTTTGAATTTGTGAGACACCAGATTAAATAATGAATTGCAGTTGTCAATACAAAGAATGTCTTGGCTTGGTCAAATTATACTCTTTCATGTTGAGACTGTTTGTTTTTTTCTCATTTCACAGCCAACTTCTCCCAGTTTGCCTTTGAGTCGGTGGTTGCAATAGTAAGCAGTCTTCACAACAGTAAAGACCTTAGCAAGGATCAGCATGGGAGGAACTGTCTCCTGGCATCCTATGTCTACTATGTGTTTCGTCTTCCAGAGCCTCAGAGAGATGTAGTCAAACTAGGTAACTGCAAAGGCAATTTTCTCTCTGACCTGACCCCTCAGAGTGTAGGCGGCAGAGATTCCTGGTTCTAAACATTCTGCATCATCAGTTTGAAGACAGAGCAGGATCTAAAAAATACTCCCATTTACCAAGTATGAAGGATATAAGCAGAGAAGAAAACAGTGCAGTGGATTGGCACAATTAAATAAATAAATTGGTGGAGCAGGTGTCTGTAGATATAGCCCTGAGCACAGGGAGAGGGGTCCATATACCACAGTGACCCAGAAACACAGAATCCTTATAGATTCACCTAAGAATTTCAGTTCCTAACATTCTGCCTCTGGGCTCCTGGGGAATAGTTGCATTTTCTGCCATGACCCAAATATGGGACAAAGCGTCAGCCTTACCAAGACACCAAAGAAAAGATATATGCACATTGTTCAAGTGAAAAAACTTACAATATGCTGAGCTCCCACCTTTAATGTACTTGGATCTCTCTGTAACCTCTGTTTTGTAAATCTTTATTCAAGATGTACATTTCCAGCCATAAAGCAAGGGACCCCAGACTTCTTTGGAAAGTTGTGACTTTGAAACTAAGCTGAGTGACATTCCTCAAAATGAGGGATAGTGGAGAGAGATGGGTGGTAACTCACTTCAGACCTATACAGGAGTACATAACTTCCTTCCTAGTACCTTATGCTGACTCAGCCCAACTGAAGGGCCGGGGGGGTAGGAGGATGAAGCCAAAAATTAAAAGATGAATAGGTCCTCTTATTCATATATATACAGATTAAAGCTTTGAGGAGGGAGATGAGAAGGGTTCTTACTCCCTTGCACAAGTATTTAATCTGAGCTCAAATATAGTCCTGAATGGTATATGGTAAGTCTCAGGGCTCATCTACAGTTAGAATTTCTGGATAAGGGTGACAACATAGAGTTCAAACCCACCCAAAATCTTTTCCAGAACAAGCTGCTTTGATAGATTTCCATGTGTAAACAAGCTCTTTGTTCCTAATGGCTACATCAAAGATAATACTAAAATTTTAGAATCCTAAAAGACCACTGGGCCTTTGAGTCCAGACATGTGTCTCTGAAATGAAGGGGAAAAGGAAGGAAAAAAGCTGTTGCTCTGAGCTTCTTCTGGTAATATATGGCTGGTTGCTGTGCTGAACAGCTCACTGCCCTTTCTCTGGGATGCAGGTGCTCTTCATTACCATACAGTTGGTCATGTTGGTGGAAAGTTTCAGAAACCGTATGCCAATTGCCCTATGTTTTGGTTTAGGAACACAGGGTAAAATGTTGCATTATGTATGTTGCATTAATATGATAGACAGTTCTAGTAAAAGTCTTTTTTCCATGGCCAGGTACAGGAGGCAGTGCCAATATGCCAGAGTCTCGTTATTACACATTTGGACGCACCAGTGCTATGTCTGTTGGGTCCAGGCTTATGCAGAGCCGGGTAATGAGCTGCAGCAATCCAGATATTGCTGGTACCCCAACAGCTACTGATGAAGAAGTCAAAAACATCATGTCTTCAAAGGTAAGAGAAGAAGAGAGTGTTAGAGTAGCAAAAAGTGGGATGACAATCTTGATTTTAAGGGTTGGACTCA